CAGCTAAGACCCGGCACAGCCAAATAAATAAATATTTTTAAAAAATTACCTTAAGTACCTATAAAAAGAAAGAGTCCTGTTTTCTTGAGGGGTGTGGTGAGGGTTACTAGTATTTTCAAAGGGCCCGCCAAAATGAGGGGTAGGGCACCAGCCTTCAGGCTAGACAGACTTGGATTTGCAATTCTCACTGGGTTGATTCCTAGCTGGTGACCCTGTGCAAGACTCTCCTAACCTATCAGGGACCTCAGTTTCTGCATCTGTAAAATGGAGGTAAGAATGCCGATTTCCTGGGGCTGCTCTGAGGATGAAATGAGGAGATAAATAAATGCAAAATGCTCAGCACTATCATATGACTCAGGGGACTCCCTTGGTGACTCAAGCAGTAAAGAATCTGCCTGCAAAAAAAAAGAATCTGCCTGCAATGCAGGAGATGCAGGTTTGATCCCTGGGTCAGGAAGATCCCCTGGAGGAGGAAACAGTAACCCACTCCAGTATTCTTGCCTGGAGAATCCCATGGACATAGGAGCCTTGTGGGCTACAGTCCATGGGATCGCAAAAAATCGGACACGACTGAAGCGACTTAGCACACATCATATGACTCGTGTGCTCAGCAAACTGTATTGTATAAAATAAAGTGTTCATTCAACCAATGTTTTTGCCATATAAATGCTAGGGTGGGTGAAACTGAGCAGCCCCTGCTCTGTGGAGCTTACAGATCAGTGGAACAGATAGTCATGGTGTAACCACACGAATAAAGAAGTACAAATTACACCAGATACTGAGAAGGAAAAGTCCAGGGAACTTAGAGAACATATAACCAGGGCCACCTAAACTAGTCAGTTTTTAACCCAGATGAAGTTACTACGGATGTCATAGACTGTTTTTGTTTTTCACTCAATGTTAAGAGAGTCCTTCACATGAACAATACGCTGAACATTTTGCAAAGAACTTTTCATAGTTGAGATTTTCATGTGGTCTGAAGCAAAGAAGATGATGCTTATTTAACAGAAATTAAAACTAAGGTGTAGAGAGGTTATGTAACTTCCTTAAGGCCAGACAACTCATTGAGGGCAAACCCAGAGATTAGATAAAACCCAGAGGTCCTTTGCTTTCACATCTATTGCTTTTTCAGTATCTCATTTTTTTAAAATTCTTAAATAGAGCCTATTTTCTTCTTTTGAAAATGTTGAAATATATAGTTTATTTACAAAAAAGCATGGGAAAATAAATATATGTGCATGATTTAAAGAAAACCTATGTAACTACTACTCAATCCAATGAACAGAAATTAACATAGCCCAAAAGTTCTTTCATTTATCCTTCCCCAGAAGTAATTCTTATATTAATCTTTTAATAACTCCTTTGTTAATCATTCATTCTTTTACCTTTTAAGAGTCTTTATCAAGTATGCATCTCAACAATATTATTGCTTGTTATTAATAAAATATTAATATTTATTAATAATAAAATATTATTGATTGTTTAAAAATGGTAGCCTAGTTTATGTTTTCTTCTATTCTTCTCAATATTCTGCTTTTGAGATTATTCATATTGATTATGCCTATACCTCATTTTTAAAGATAAATAATATTCATTGTATGGTTACACCACAGCTTATTTGTGCACTCTTAGGTTAATAAGAACTTGGATCATTTCCGTGTTTTTCTGTTACAGTTCTTTTTCCTTTGAAAGATGCATAAATTTATTTTTATAAAAAACTCTGGAAGATGTTACAAGATTTGTGAATTTAAATTTCAGTCCCTAGGACCACAATATCAGTACTATATAAGTTCTATCATTTGAGTTTACCATCAGCCAGGAACTTTACACACATTAAAAAATTTTAATCCTCTTAACATTCCTATTTGATACATATTATTACCTTTTAGGCAGTGAAACTGAGGCTCCTGGAGATTAGACAATTTGTGCTGTGCTAAGTCACTTCTTCATGTATGATTCTTTGTGATTCCGTGGACAGTAGGCCACCAGGCTCCTCTGTCCATGGGATTCTCCAGGCAAGAATACTGGAGTGGGTTACCATTTCCTCCTCCAGGGGGTAACCCAGGGATCGAACCTGCATTTCCTGTGGCTCCTGCATTGCAAGTGGATTCTTTACCGCTTGAGCCACCCAGGAAGCCCTCAAAAAGCAACCCATCCCCTTGGGACTGTGGCAGGACTCGAACCTGCAATCTTCTGATCCAAAGTCAGACGCCTTATCCATTAGGCCACACAGTGACCGACTAAACAACTCAGCTAAGGCTGTTAGGAGAGCCAAGATGACAGCTCAGACTAAATCTAACATTCTGGTTCCTGCCAATTCACTCCAGGACTTCATACTGTACTATGCAGTAATGAAAACCAAATGTTAATGGTGGACTATAAAATCTATAAGTATCTACTATATTTTTTTATATTTGTGACTGTAATAAAACACACATAACAGGGGATTCCCTGGTGATCCAGTGGTTAGGACACTGTGCTTCCATTGTAGGGGATTTGGTCCCTGGTCAGGGAACTAAGATCCCACATGCCTCTCAGCTCAGCCAAACAAACAAACAAACCAAAACATTTTATCTACTTTTTTTCATCTGAAGTACTTTTAAGTTCAGTAGTGTTAAGTACATTCACACTGTTGTACAATCCTCTCCAGACCTCTTACAGCCATTCTTGTATATATCATCTGGGGCACAAGGGCAGCATTTTTCTCTAGGGCATGTCATTGGGTGGAATCACATGGGTTTGCATATGTCCGACTTTATCAGTTAAGGTCAGGCTCTTTTTCAAAATGTTTGCACCAATTTATACTCCCATGGGCATTTACTTTTAAGCATTACATTCAAATGTTAAATTTTATTTTTAAGTTCCAACACAAAAAGATAAAAAAGACAATACAATGAAAAAATCTCTGTCCCCTAATCATCTTATTGTCTCCCCAGAGATAATCAAAATTACCAGTTTCTGGTGATCATCCTTCCAGAAGTATTTTTTTTTGCATATATTTCCCCCTTTTACAACAACTTGTAGCATTCTATACATACTTTTCTGAAGTCTGTTTGTTTCTCTTAACAAACATTATAGGCAATATAATTTGGTGGTCTCTGGAGCAGATTGCCTGGATTCATATCCAGCTTCATGCTAAACTGGTGGTGATTTTGATTAGGTCATTTAATCTCTCTGTGTCTTATATTATTTATCTTTAAAATCTGGAAGGAATCCTAACTTTATGAGAATTAAATTAGTTAATATATGTAGAGCATTTAGAATCCTGCCTATTAGAACTGTAACTATTGTCAGCATAATCATATCAATGCTTTCTCATTCTTTTTTATGGCTGTCTTATAGTCCATCATATAAATGTATCACAATTTATTTTAATCATAATTGATAAAACATTTAAGTTGTTTAGGTATGTTTATAGCACAGCAATAAACAACTATCATTTCCCACTCACACAGGTGAGTATATCTAAAAGATGAAGTCCTAGAATGGAATTGCTGGGTCAAAGGTATTTAGTGCAGTTATCCTTTTAACGGATATTGACAAGCTTTCCTTCATGAATACACCACACACATTCATATATGTTAACTTAAAGGGATATAAAAAATTTAGACTAGAAGAACCCTAGGTAAAGCTACTTTACTGTTCAGATGAGTCAGCTGATGCCAAGAGAGAGGAAGTGACTGGCACAGGCTTAGTGGTGGAAATAGCACCAAAACCCTCGCAGGTGTCTGGATTTAAGAGTCCTAAAAAGACTTCCGTGGTGGCTCAGACGGTAAAGCATCTGCCTACAATGCGGGAGACCCAGGTTCAATCCCTGGGTTGGGAAGATCTCCTGGAGAAGGAAATGGCAACCCACTCCAGTATTCTTGCCTGGAGAATCCCTTGGACAGAGGAGCCTGGTGGGCTACAGTCCATGGGGTCGCAGAGTCGGACATGACTGAGCACCTTCACCTTCAAAACGCTTTAAAGTCCTTGTTCAGTCACTGTGCTTAGTCGCTCAGACTAAGTCCTCGTTTAACATTTCATTATGTTGATGCTGCAGTTTGCTTACATAGTGGTAGTAACTTAATATCTAATTTCTCAATATTCTTTCCGATTTTTCCCCTGGGCTATTTTTCTACCCTGGATTGATCATGTGCGCAACCAAGTGACCCTTGGACAAATCTGACCGGCTTGAGGTTGACCAAGTGACCGATCTGCTCTCGTCTTTGAAAATGCTGGACTTGGTAAACTGTCTCTAGGGAATCAGAGCTCCGCCAGCCACTCCTAAGAGATCATTTAAATTACATCAAGGGAAGTGAACCAAAGCATTTGCTCAGTAATCTTGCCGAGACCAATTTCGCAAGCTGGTGGTTGATTTGTAGTATTTCTTTTAGACCAAAGGAAGCCCGCCCCTCGGTGGCGAAGCCGTCATTGGCTGGCACGGCTGTCAATCACCAGCGAGTTAAATACGGAGAGGCCCGCGGCTCCTCCCTCAGGACGTCCTGGAGCGCGTGGTGTGGCAGCAGTTGGGCTGCGCGAGTCGTGCCAGAGAGAGTCTCTGCGGTAATGTCGTTACGCCTTACTAACTGGAGTGGAAAGTAAAAGGGACCTCTCCTCCTCCATCCTCTTTTCCGTCTCCTTGCCGGGCAGGCGTAATGGCGGAAGTCGCGGCGACTGGCGCGGGCGGAGAGGTTATGGCGGCAGTGGCGGCAGGGGAAGGCTCCTCGGGCCCGGTGTGCTTGCCTCTAGGCCGGGGCTTCTCGAACTACCGGCCCTTCGAGCCCCAGGCGTTGGGTCTCAGCCCGAGCTGGCGTCTCACCGGCTTCTCTGGCATGAAGGGCTGAGGCTGCAAGGTCCCCCAGGAGACGCTGCTCAAACTCCTGGCGGGACTGACGCGACCGGAGGTGCTGCCCGCGCCGGGCCGGGGCCTGGTCGGAGGCCTTGAAGAGACGGCCCAGGAAGCCGGTCTGCCGATGAGGTCGGAACCCAGCCCTCCCTTCCCCACCCTGGGCATTGGGATGGACTCCTGCGTCATACCCCTGAGACATGGGGGCCTGTCCCTGGTGCAGACCACTGACTTCTTTTACCCCCTGGTGGAAGATCCCTACATGATGGGGCGCATCGCGTGCGCCAACGTGCTGAGTGACCTCTACGCCATGGGCGTTACTGAGTGTGACAACATGTTGATGCTACTCAGCGTCAGCCAGAGTATGCCTGAGGAGGAGCGAGAAAAGATAACGCCACTCATGATTAAAGGTTTTCGGGATGCTGCCGAGGAAGGAGGGACTGCAGTGACTGGTGGGCAAACGGTGGTAAACCCTTGGATTATCATCGGTGGAGTTGCTACTGTGGTATGTCAACCAAATGAATTCATCCTGCCTGACAGCGCCGTTGTTGGGGATGTGCTCGTGTTAACCAAACCCTTAGGAACCCAGGTTGCCGTCAATGCCCACCAATGGCTGGATAATCCTGAACGATGGAATAAGATAAAGATGGTGGTCTCCAGAGAAGAGGTAGAGCTGGGTTATCAGGAAGCCATGTTCAACATGGCTACGCTCAATAGAATTGCTGCCGGACTGATGCACACGTTTAATGCCCACGCAGCCACAGATATCACCGGCTTTGGCATTCTGGGTCACTCTCAGAACCTTGCAAAACAACAAAGAAATGAGGTCTCCTTTGTCATTCATAATCTGCCCATCATTGCCAAGATGGCTGCCATCAGCAAGGCCAGTGGGCGCTTCGGTCTCCTGCAAGGAACCTCAGCAGAAACTTCTGGGGGGCTACTGATTTGTCTGCCAAGAGAACAGGCAGCTCGCTTTTGTTCAGAAATCAAATCTTCAAAATATGGAGAGGGTCATCAAGCGTGGATCGTCGGTATTGTGGAAAAGGGAAACCGGACAGCCCGGATCATTGACAAGCCTCGAGTTATTGAGGTCCTGCCTCGTGGGGCGACTGCTACTCTTGCTCCTGAGAACTCCAATGCGTCCTCTGAGCCTAGCTTGTGAGATGGAACAGCAGAAGTTGTTTGGACTGTACAGCCTTTGTACACAAGCATGGACCATTTGCTAGAGTTGATTTTAGGAAGAAATTTACAAAGAAGGCTGCCTGCATAGTAGTTCCAGCTGCTCTTCCTAGGTAATTTGAATCAGTCCATCAAAAGTTGCACATTCCAAGACGAGAAGTAACATTTTGGACTTCCGGGGGGTCGGGGGTGTATATTTGGTCATCTCTTGAGTGGAAAAAGCAGAAAACCCCCTGTCTCCTCTTTCCAAGAGCAAGAGGAGATTACTCATGCTTGAGATATTTTTCTTGGCACGGGGTTAATTGATTTCTGCACAGAGTGAGATTATTTATTAAAATTAAACCAAAAATGCAAAATGAAAAACACTTAGATCAGAAATAAGTTTGGACCAATACTGTTGATAAATTGAAATTGTTATGAGAGATTTAAATACAATGTCAAATTCTTAGATTACTCTGAAACACTGGCTCTTTCCTACTCTGGACAAGAATTGAGCAGCTTGTCCAATGACTGGGAAAGGAGGCCCTCCAACCACCTTACCTGGTCTCTGTTAATGACGTCTCTCTCTAAACCCCTTTAAGGACTGGGAGAGGCAGACCAAACCCCAGAGCCCAGGCCTTGGTGGACATTAAGATGTTAAATCTTGTGTTGAAAATTCCTGGTGATTTCATCAATAAAGCGATTTCTAGTGAAATAATTTTGTTGAAAATTCTTCTGGCGAATGTTTGTATCTTTGGAATTATTCACCTTTTACAGTTTTATAAACTGAACCAACTGATAACATTTGGTGTGGACAGCAAAGGATCCTAAACAGTCATAAATCCCAAGGCCTAGAGGGTGGGAGAGGAAATGGCAAAGGAAAGGTGTCAGCCATTCTTGGAAGATGGAAAGTAGGTGTAAGAGGGGTAATTAACTTAGAACAAAGGAGGCCAAAGTATAAATGCTTTCAGAGGGACTTTCCTGGTGGTCCAGTGGTTAGACTCCAAACTTCCACTGCAGGGGACATGGATTCCATCCCTGGTTGGGGAACTTAGACCCCACATGCCATGAGGTGTTAAGTTCCATCGCTCAGTCATGTCTTTGCAACTCCATGGACTGCCGCATGCCAGGCTTCCCTGTCCATCACCAACTCCCAAAGCTTGCTCAAACTCATGTCCATCAAGTTAGTGATGCCATCCAACCATCTCATCCTCTGTCGTCCCCTTCTCCCGCCTTCAGTCTTTCCCAGCATCAGGGTCTTTTCCAATGAGTCAGTTCTTCATGTCAGGTCGCCAAAGTATTGGAGCTTCAGTTTCAGCATCAGTCCTTCCAATGAATATTCAGCACTGATTTCCTTTAGGATTGATTGGTTTGATCTCCTTGCAGTCCAAGGGACTCAACAGTCTTCTCCAACACCACAGTTCAAAAGTTGAAAGGTGTAGCCCCCCTAAAACAATGCCTTCAGAGTTGGGGAACACTTAACAGGAAGCAAAGAGGTAGGCTCCAAATACACCAAGGAAGATAGGGTCAAAGATACTGGTTAAAACTTTATGCATAGGATAATTAGATCTTCACAGTTCTCAAACTTCTCCCCGTACCGTGTCATACAGCCACATGACTGCCTCTCATCTCTGTAGGTAAAGGGCAGTTTGGTCTGTGGAAAATGTGAATTTAAAAAATACCATAAAGTCAGGGGCAATCAGCAGAGCAGAGGACAGGGAGCCTCACCGAAAGCAAGAATAAAGACAAAAATGAGATTGTCCAGCCCACTCTCTCAGGTAAGCTATTAGAAACACTGGGAAGCTTATATTGCCCCTGCCTGGCACAGGTGGAAGGTAGTTCTCTAGAGAAAATACATCTGCTCAGGGGGGGAAAAAACCTATAAATAAAAACATTTAGGGAGCCCCCAGTGAAAATCCCTGTACCAGGAAGCCTCCCAGTTGGAAAGCTTCACTTAAAAACATTCTTTTTAATGCCTCATTGTCAAATAGGAGCAGTAAAGGATCACCAGACATTTGAGGCAAGTTCCAACTGGAAAGAAGTAAAAGCAAAGAAGCAAAAAAAAAAAAAGACTTTAAAAAGACTATACAGGGAGCAAAAGAAAAGGAATAAAAGAAGAAAAAGCAGCCATTGAAAAATAATAAGAGAGCAAAGCACTTAGAATATAAAAATACAGCTAAAAATCTTTAAATTCAGTAGTTTTTGTTGTCATTTATTTGCACCATAAGACGTAAGGGATCTTAGTTCCCCCATCAGGGATTGGAAGCTTGGAGTCTTAACCACTGGACCACCAGGGAAGTCCTCAGTAGAAGATTTAGAAGGTAAAGCTGACATTTATCAGGAGAACAAAACAAAAAGATGCACAATGAAGGGGGAAAACAGGAAAATCAGAGATGGGCCAGGAGGTTTAACATATAAGAGTTCCAGAAAGAGGTAATAAAGCATATGAAAGGAAGAAAACAAAGAATTATACAAGAAAGTTTTCTGAAATTTAAAAGTTGTGTCTGTTAACATGCCTTTTGAGTTCCCAGGACAGGGAGTGGAAAAAGGCCTACATTCATTTTATTATTAACTATTGTGAAAATACCATGGATTAAAAGACCATAATAAAAACAATAGCAAATGCTTATATAATACTCTTTGCCAGGCACTGTTTAACTTGTGTAAGCTTCCAACAACCCCATTTTTTTTAATGTTGTTTTTATTTATTTATTTTCTTTTAATTCTATTTTTTTTTATTAGCTGGAGGCTAATTGCTTTACATCATTGCAGTGGTTTTTGTCATACATTGAAATGAATTAGCCATGGATTTACATGTATTCCCCATCCTGGTCCCCCCTCCCACCTCCCTCTCCACCCGATCCCTCTGGGTCTTCCCAGTGCACCAGGCCCGAGCACTTGTCTCATGCACCCAACCTGGGCTGGTGATCTGTTTCACCCTAGATAATATACGTGTTTCGATGCTGTTCTCTTGAAACATCCCACCCTCGCCTTCTCCCAGAGTCCACAAGTCTGTTCTATACATCGGAGTCTCTTTTTCTGTTTTGCATATAGGGTTATCGTTACCATCTTTCTAAATTCCATATATATGTGTTAGTATACTGTAATGGTCTTTATCTTTCTGGCTTACTTCGCTCTGTATAATGGGCTCCAGTTTCATCCATCTCATTAGAACTGATTCAAATGAATTCTTTTTAATGGCTGAGTAATATTCCATGGTGTATATGTACCACAGCTTCCTCATCCATTCGTCTGCTGATGGGCATCTAGGTTGCTTCCATGTCCTGGCTATTATAAACAGTGCTGCAATGAACATTGGGGTACACGTGTCTCTTTCAGATCTGGTTTCCTCAGTGTGTATGCCCAGAAGTGGGATTGCTGGGTCATATGGCAGTTCTATTTCCAGCTTTTTAAGAAATCTCCACACTGTTTTCCATAGTGGCTGTACTAATTTGCATTCCCACCAACAATGTAAGAGGGTTCCCTTTTTTCCACACCCTCTCCAGCATTTATTGCTTGTAGACTTTTGGATAGCAGCCATCCTGACTGGCGTGTAATGGTACCTCATTGTGGTTTTGATTTGCATTTCTCTGATAATGAGTGATGTTGAGCATCTTTTCATGTGTTTGTTAGCCATCTGTATGTCTTCCTTGGAGAAATGTCTGTTCAGTTCTTTGGCCCATTTTTTGATTGGGTCATTTAGTTTTCTGGAGTTGAGCTGCAGGAGTTGCTTGTATATTTTTGAGATTAATCCTTTGTCTGTTGCTTCTAACAACCCCATTTTGCAAATGAGGAAGCTGAGGTGCAAGGAGATTGAGAAATTTGGTCAAAGTTGCACTGGCAGTCTACTAACTAAACAGCTTGCTTCTAAAGTCCTTGCTTCCAATCATGGTGAGCTCCTAAAGCTTCCGGGAGGAAAGGAGATCACAAAGGTCTGGTATCAGACTTCTCAGCAGTGAACCGGAAGCTAAAAGACAATGAGAAAGTGCTTCCAAAATTCTGAGGGTAAGTGATTTTCTCTGTAATTCTATAGCCAAGTTTTTTTCCAAACAAATAGCCTAAAGATATTTTTAAGACATGCAAGGTATTGAAGTGTTTTCATCACATTCACTGTTTCTCAAGAAACTCCTGGAAGATGTGCTCTAGCAAAACAAGGGAGCAAACAGAGAAAGAGGAAAAACACGGGGTCCAGGAAATACAACCCAGCACAGGTGAAAGGTGAAGGGAGCTCTCCAGGTAAGAGCTGTCCACCAGACACAGAGAAGTACCAGCTCAGAAAGCTTCTAGGAATAGGAAAATCAAATTGATAGAGTGTTGATATGTTTAATTATGTGAAAAATTGTATTGGAAGGTAATCAGAAGATGTAAAAAGAATTAGTGATAATTAATAGGAAATTGGGGCTTCTCCAGTGGCTCAGCAGTAAAGAATTCATCTTCAATGCAGGCAACGCAGGTTCAATCCCTGGCTTGGGAAGATCGCCTGGAGAAGGACATGGCAACTCACTCCAGTACTGTTGCCTGGAGAGTCCCATGGACAGAGGCCCCTGTCAGGCTGCAGTCCATGGGGTCGCAAAAGAGTCAGGCTCAACTGAGCAACTAAACGCCAGCTACAACAACATAGAAAATCAGCAAATTAAAAAAAAAATGCAGTTATCAAGTCTAGCCAAAAATAAAATGTAATCTAACAATAAATAGTTAAATTCAATCAGGTTTTCTCAGAGCTCAAAGCTCTCAAATTACTTTCCACAAAACCCCTGCTTCATCTCAAGGCACTTCATCTCACGGCACACTCACTGCCTTTCTCACTGAACTCTAGCCCATTAGCCTTTCTATGGTGCTTCAAACAAATCGAGATCCTTTGTTCTCCATCTCTCTATCCAACTCGCTAACTCTCAGTCCTAGCTCAGCTAGAATAAAACCTCTTCATAAAAGCCCTCTCTGACCTCAGCCAGCACCCAGCAACTCACCAACTCATCATCCTATTTATTAGCTTTTGTGTGTCTG